TGGAATGGGTTGCCTTCAGATGTTGTGGAGGCAGTAAATTTAAGTCAGTTTAAGAAAAATCTTGATAAGTAAATGAATGAAAAAGGCTGGCTTTAATATTTTTTAATATATTTATTTTAATTTAGTTTCGAAGATGGAACAGCCGAGATGGACCAATAGGTCTCATGTTATCCCAACTCGTTATGTTTGTCGCTTTTACCACGGGTACTTTGCATCGGATGAACAGTTCATGTTCTTTGACTTTTTGTGATTTTTTTAAATAATATCGATTTCCCAACAAGTATCAGATAGGTAATATCTCTAATAACAACAGATTAGATCAAGAAATAAGACGTAGATGTAAATAAATGACAAAGAAACAAAAAGAACAGTGTATGTACATTAGCAGATGGAGTCACAGCCGATTCTATTGGAGTGTATTTAGCTCAAGGTTTTTCTCCCACAGGATTAATCTCCATAAACTAAACATGATGATTTTAAAATATGTTTTCACTCGATGATCTCCTAATAGAACTAGCCTTAAAAAGCGTGCTTGAATTCAACAGGTAAAAATCACCTTTTTTGTTGCCCAGTCGACAGATCATCTTGTAACCTTTATTTTCTCATAGCGGTGCCAACGTTATCGCGTAGATAACGTCAATTCGGCCAGTAAAAGTTCGGTGCTAATCCTTACCCCCCGAATGCTATACGTTACTGCAATATCATCTCTGGCAGAATAGATATTATCTACTATAGAAAACAAAGAAAAACAACAACTAGAACAAGGCAATCTCAACGACTTTCTGAACCACGTGCTGTCACCATTACGGCAAGGGAATTAAATAAATGAAAAGCTTGAAAAATTCCTATATCACTAAAGCAAGTAGAAAACATATTATATGCCTGTATATCACAGGGCCCGGCATGGCCAGGTTGTTATGGTGCTCGATTCGCAATCTGCGGGTCGCGGATTCGAATCCCCGTCACACCAAACATGCTTGCCCTTTCAGCCGCATTATAATGTGACGGTCAATCCAACTATTCGTTGGCGGTGGGTGGTGATGACTAGCTGCCTTCCCTCTAGTCTTACACTGCTAACTTAGGGACGGCTAGCGCAGATAGCCCTCGTGTAGCTTTGCGCGAAATTCAAAACAAAAAACAAACAAATACACGGTATACTCAATGTACTATGTCTAATGGCCCTTGCTCTGAATTTGGGCGAGATGATGATAATGAATATGAGACATCTGAAGAAGCAAGAAAGCGCTGGTGATAAAAGATTACTATATGGCCAGGCCGAAGTCCCGATGCTAAATCCATTGCCCATTGTGATACCAGCTGAAAAGATTAGCCAACTAAGCTACAACAACTTTGGAAGTTTCTATAGCGAAATATTATTCCTTATTTTACGTTCCAGAATTTACTTTTTATATCTAATATCGTAATACTGAATATAAACATAACATATACATTAAAACAACTATTTTTTTTCAATATTTCTTGATATCCGGAACTTATTATTGGCTCCTTTTGTCAAGCTCCTTTGGTTGAAGTCGGGGACGTATTAGTTACTTAAATGGCTTCAAGTCCTTTCATAAACTCAAAACTGGCACGATAATAAGAATGTAATTACAATATGATTACAATATACTAGTCTTCTAGTTCTCATTCAGGAACCCAATCCAAGCAACAAGGGCAATCAGAAACATTCATTCCTGATTTGAGCGACAACACTTTGCGCCCTATTGCGAGCGTTATCTTTCACTGTCCTACCGTTTGACGTAGCTGACAGGGTATCATGAACAACTCCCAATTGTGTCTCAAGACCTTGATAGACACTATTCTGGCTTCCCTTCCCACCTAGTCACCATAGGCAGTTTTTATATCGCTACCAAATAATGTGTAATAAAATCAATACAAAGAACATTTGCTTCATGAGTACAACAATCATTGTTATGTAATTATTCTCCGTTGAAATTTTGAATTTGGAATTCATGTTTGATGAACTCCAATATTTTCATCTCTTGTGTGGCTTTTACAGTCCTAAATTCTTTGGTGCTTGAAAATCAAGGTGATACTTCATTTTTTTCGCCAAATATTACGGGAGAGTCAGCAGAATCACCTATTTCACCATGAGATTCACGACGTATGACCTCTTAAATTTAGTCTAAGTGTTTCTGAAAAACTCTACTCATCAGTCTTTGTGACATATTTTTCTTTTGTACAGTTATCTTATCAAACTACAAGATTCAAAATTGCACAAGCACAACACAAACAGTAATTATGTATCACAAATTAGAAACACGTAGAATTCAAAAACATTTACAAAGGAATATAATGTTTCTTGAGGAGGAAAGCTTGCATATTTTTTATAAACGTTATTTTTTCATTTGATGTTTTGTTTGAGAAAGTATAAAATTAAAGTTATTAGTAAATAAACTATAAGAATATAACAAACTAATAACCAGGTTCATTATAAAATATTTATATTGATTATTGCTATTTTGACTTATAATTTCGACAGTCCCGAATAATACCAATAGATGTTGTTATTTGCAGAAACGTATGGGAAAATACACGTTTCTTCACATTAAGGTTCAAAACCATAGAACTGGAGATCCAATATCGAGGTCGAAGAGCCACTACTATAGCGGTGTCAATGGCAGGCTTTCTTTTTGTACTTTTATCATGTGATCTAGCCGATCTCGTGCTAGTTCCTGGAACGTAAGCTTTATTTTCTGTATGTTCTATCTTAAAATACAAATCATTGAAAACGTTTGTTGACGAACGTGTAAGAAGAATTATATTAACTTTACTTTAAGTCAACACAGAACCCCAGTTAAATATGATAATTAGAGAGAAAAAAATATTTTCTTGAATTGTTTGCAGATATGTTAATGTGGCATCTCATTCAAGAGAAAGAGAAATGAATAAATTAACCTCAGAAACAGTGCCCTTATTTGAGATTTTGTGAAATACAGCAGAATCGAACGACAATAAAAGAGATTATTCAATCAAGAAAAAGTCAAACTTTTATGACTATACGAAATAAATTGTATGGTATACAAGATAAAATAAACGTTAAACAAATAATACAATTTTTCAAAAGTACTTTAAACTACTAACCACAGAAATTAAAACAAAACGGGTTTTGAGTCGTATAAATAAGGTGGCTGGATGCATCACTATGTAGAAGATATAATTATAATAAAACAACACAAGTTAAGTGTCAAAACAAAGAAAAATCTAACATAAAATGTTTACTCATCTAAACTCTCACGAAATTAGGCTATAATTAATCTTAGAGTTTCTGGGATTACCCATTTAATTGATTGGTAAAGTTACTGCACATACCCTCTTGACTGCTAAGTTCTCCATTCTCCCCAGTGGCTAATGTTCAATATACACCAATGGTTGAAATGTCAACTCAAGAAAGAAAGAACATTTCAGAACTATGTTGCCTGGGCGAACATACAGTATTTAATATCACGTTCTGATCAAAGCAAGCAATCTACTTTGATGAAAACTAAACATCAATCCAGTAATGAGTATAGCTAACTAAATATAACTTTATTACGCTCTTACTTAGAAAGATTAGAATGTATTGTTTCATCTGTTCGGTACCCTTAGTGTTAACGATTTTTTCGTTGAAGTTAAACTATCAAAAGCACAGACTTACCAGAAAACTTTAAAGCATGAACAGGAATATCCTCATCCAGTACCTATTTTCTCTTCACGTTACGATAGAACACAGCATACAGAAGATTGGAGCATCTGCATAACTTGGAACCGTTGTTGTAGTTTTATCAATAGCATAAATATACAAAAACCCTAATTATTCCTGAATAAATGCTTCATGAGACCACGTGAACTTAAAAAACTATTACTTATAGGGGGACCTGGATCTTGCTATGAGGCTAGACTTAAAATTCCCATATAACTAATATTTATAAATATCTCTTAAGTCTGAATCTGTATAATATTTCCTCTAAACCTAGACCCGATAAATATTTTTGGGTCATTGCTTTAATGAATGTTCAGAAAGGCAAACACTTAAAACTAAAGAAAGGTGTGGGGTGTGAACCAAAGTTCGAAAGGAGTCAAGCTTGTGAGAACTGCGCCTGCGACAGGCAGACAACGACTAAGTCTCTCTATCGCTTCTTTATCACTAGTTAACATCCCCCACCCGTTTCGCCCGCTTATGCCACCAAAAATGTTTATTGCACGATGTTCCTTCGAATAAGAAAACCATATCTACACCGTCAACTGCACGTGAGCGATATAAAAAACACGATTTATCTAAAGCATACTTATTACTTAACCTCCTACGTGACCTATTTTTTGCAGTTTTTTAAATCCTAAAACTGCTAAAGATTAATATGATGAAAAACGGAAAACATTTGAGATGTTTAGAACCTTTCACTAAAATTATTGCCCTAGAGTCGAGTTGGATATATATATATATATATATATATATACACATTATTCTTTCAAAACTTCAGTAAGAACAAGTTTTACAACAATAAGTAATATTTGCAGGTATTTTAATATGAGGGTTAACAGATAATAACACTAGCTACTTCTGATTCTCACAAAGATCGTGTGTTTTGTGAGATTTTTATTTTTTATTTCATTGTTTTGCACATTATTCCTGCAAACGATGCAAACATTGGTTTTATTAATATTTTTAAATGCCTAACTATATTACATAAAATAATTTTATTCTTCTTCTAGACTTGCTGCCCTCAAAACCACCAGTAGTGTATGGGCACACTTGGGTATACCTTTCATTACAGTTTGTATCGTGGTCGTCGTTGTAATGAAGGTATATGTTTGTTTGTTTTCTGTCTTAGCATATTCCTAACAACAATCCTCATGGCATACTATCATACGTTCTTATCAATTGTTTCTAATAAGAAAACTGTCATAATATCATCTTGGCTCATAGAGAAAACTTTAAGAATTATCTTTAAAACTTAAAAAAGATAAGCTTTCTGTTTCTTTGTTGTTGTTGTTTTTGTGTATGTGTCAGTGGTAAAACCAAAATACAATAAAAACAAACAACGTTATATGGCATATTGGTTTGTGGACTATATATGCTTATCAGTGAATGAGAAACCAGGAAAGCAGATAATGGATTTTTGTTCATTCAGCAAAAGAGATGTTTCTTGGATTTTATTATAAATTTCACTAAGAAATAAGAAGTCGTGCATACTAAGTTCAGAAGAACATTGCGAAATTATTCGAAAACAATTACTTTCAACGTAGTTAAAAACCTATTTGTATCTGTTTACCATGTTGTTGTTTTTTTTTGGGGGGGGGGGAATATGGTTATTTAAAAATATAGGAAAACAAAACTAATTTTACGATATAGATTTTCATATTCTGTCTTTTTGCCAAATCTTTATCTTATAGAATTAATTATTCGTTTTGCTTCTCACAGTTTAATACAATAATATACTTTATTTCCCACGATTAGTTTTGTGTGTGTGTGTGTGCTTTAGTCATACAACGTTTTTTTAAGGCTAATAATTACTGGTAATCCATAATATTCGTTCTCTTATTTTAGTTATTTCACTCAGTGTTACAGGATATCCTTGCCAAAGATTGAGTCCATATTTTTTCAAGCAGCTGAATTAAAACCCTGGGTGAGAATCTTCATGCTTCTAGTTCTAGTTACAGTGTGGGTATGTCTCCAATCTCTGAAGACGGTAAGGACTCTGCATTTAATATAATGATTTAATATTGGTTATAGTTCATGTTCATCCGTATGAAGAGTTCCACGCGTTTTTACAAACTACTTAATTTTCATCTAATCAAAAATACCCTAAGTGTGAAAAAAATATGCGACCAAAAAACGATTGAGTGTGCGACTTAAAGGAATGAAATCAAAATTGGCGGCCAAACTGGTAGCTACACTTTGAGCATTAATAAGAATTTTACGGCAAATATTCATTCATTGGTTAGTCAGGCCGCGTTTTTTGTTCAAGTGATTTCTTTAATCAAAGCATCAACAACTTGACTGTAAGATGGAAAGCATCATCGATAAGAATGGAGACAATTTCATTTAACAAATGTTTTATTTTCATATATATATAACTTGTTCTGGTTTTTCATCTAAAAAAAGCGACATTAATTTCTTGATGTCTTTTCACCTTATAATTTTGCTGCTCTAAATCAGCCGTCTTTAATCTGAATGATTAAAAAATAAAAAAGATCCACTTGCACTCTTATATAAAGCTACAGTAAAAACAGATAGCTCCCGTGACTTTTTACTTAGGCGTGCGCAAAAAGTTTCGTCAAATTTGAGCGGTTTTTGTTAAATAATTTTGCACAAGTAGCTTATATTTAAACCAAATGAGACTTTTTGTATGTTGTAAAGATCTATCAGTGTACCAAATTAAAAAAAAAACATAAAACTTATGTATGCTTTCTATCAAATAAAGTTTCCATACTTTTGGTGAGAAGAAAATAAAGGAAGAAACTCAGTCAAAACTGGAGATTTTACATTTTACATCCCTTGAATATTCTAATGAATTGCCATTAAATTTGGTATGTGAAGTAAGAGTCCGGTAGAGCACACCCACTGAAAATATGTGATGGTTTGTATTACTACAGTCCGATCTACAGAAGGTGGAAAATCGCTAAACTATCACTCCTGTTAATAGGACACAGTGTGTCCTGCAGCAGGTTGTTATGGCCGCACGACACACTCTCGTGTGTCTTGATAATGAAATTTAATGGTACGTCTATATAAAGTAACCTCCTAAACAACTATTACAGTATGACTTGTATGGTGAAGGTAACACCTAAAGAGCTCCTTAATTTATTAATGTTTGTCGTTATTACACAGCTAACCTATAGACACATTCTGTAAAATACGTAAAAATTAGTAAAATATTTCATCTTGTCGTTTTTAAATATAATTTAAACTTTTCTAACTTTAAAAAATTCAAATAACGAAAATAAGAAGTTTTGTAGTAAGGTTAAAAATCGTAGGAGAACTACAATACCAGCAATATAGTTCTTGAGCAGTGTTTCTATGCTGCTGTAATGAAACTGTATACTATCACGATTTAAATGATAAGAAACGTTGATCTTTCGACATTGACTACAGATACGGCGAATCTTGACTTGGCCTGAGTTCTACCAGAACTATTCAACGTTCGGGCTAGTAGAATCCCCCCTTGATCAGCATGATGGGTTCCCTCAGTACCTGATCTACTACTGTATAACGATGTACCTAGGCCTATCGATGTTCACACACATTACCCATCTTATCAAACTTGCTATTACGGCCACCACTACAATAGTATGGTGTTCCCTTAGCAACCTACCACTGAGAGCTGCGTTTGAATGGTATGAATTATGGGCTTACGGTAGAAGGTGAGAATAATGTTTCTACCTGGTAATGAGATCTATGTTTTGAAAAATTGAACATTTATTCATAGCTGTATCTAAATGTTAGGTTTAATTATCATTTTCAAAGTCATGTGTTTCATTAGTAGTCCCAGAATACTTAATTGAAGTAAATTTTAACTGTGCTTTGTCTCTCATATTTATCTCGTCAGTAATTTGCCAGAAAAAATTAATATAACGCAAATTTTGATGTTTATGTGTCATAAGAACTTATCTAACCAATCTATTATTATTATTATACATATCTATTTTCTATTGTGCAACAAAGATCAAACGAATTTCAAATTATTTAGCTAATGTATAATCTTGAAAGCTATCTATCAGTGAGAATAGGTTGATATATAATAAAAGAAACATGTTTTAAAGCAACCCGCCGTTATAATCCACCGCTTTCCGATTACTTCCCTAACGCTTAAGCTCGTTGTTATTAAATTTATTGCCATGCAGTCTGTTTCATACCATCCAATCAAAAGTCGTCGTCGTTGGCGATCCTTCGATTCGAGAATGATATATACCACTTCTCATTGAAGTCTGAACCTTAAGCGATAGATCTATCCACAAAAGTTGTAAATCGTTTTGCTGAGGAGGTAGCCTGGATTTCTTTCCATTTCTCTCCTTGGCTCTTTTCTTTTTTGCTTCATGTGCATGATGCTTTGCTTCGAAACGAGTTGCCATTAGGTTGATTCAGAAGTGTAGGCACAGCTGAATTTACATCAGACTTTTCTTTCTTCAACATGTTTATATACAAAGTGGAGGAACACCTTGTTTTAAAGCAATAAAATCTACTGAATGAGAGCATTGTGAAACACGTGTGTGAAATGTAAGCACTTATATGATCTCATTACATACTCTATATAACCTTTTGTGAAAACATTCCAATCATTGCGACTGATCCTCCTTCGTTTTTTGGCTGAATCCATCTACAGTTCGTAGCGACACATACAGTTTCCGGTTTGACCAATTGTAAGGTACAATGCATTCAAGCAATTATGAAGCAATCGGAAAGCAGTGGAGTATAACAACTAGCATATTCATGTTAATGTTAAGGTATCCATCTCTTAAAGTTTATCAGTATAATACCGGAAAATTGTACTGGATCATTTTTACCTTTAGTAGAACTATAACAGTAACTTTCAGTTTAATCAAAATCTAAAATGACAGTAACTGTAGATTCTCAAAATAAGTCTCCGTTGTATCATTCATTACGGTATGGAGTTTCTACTTTACAAAATATTTAATATGTATAGTATATTATTAATAATTTCTGATCAAACAAAACTACTTTTAGGTCCGAAGTGGAATTTATCTCATAGTGATAAATATAGTTAATTTGATATAAGTTCTGACTTACAAAAGATTAGAATACACGGCCTTCGACTTGTATATGCTTTATTATAAAGCTCAGCTATGCTACTAAGCTTAAGTAAATTGCAAATGTACGATGAAACATAATGACTCTCTGTAAATTGTATGTAGGTTGACGCTTAACAACAACCAAATGAAACTCTGTAAATTAAAATAAAGGAATAGTGACATTTCAAATGACGAATTATTTAAATAGACACCTTATTTTCAAGTATGTAAATTAATCTTTTCACTTTATTTGCTTTTTTATTCATTAACAAGATATTTTGCAAAATAATTTCCTTAATGAATGATATAAAGAAACGTTTTAAAAGTCATCAATAAATAAGATCAGACGAACGACAGGGTTATATACAGTTTTTTATAATACAGAGTGTATAACTAAAATAGATATTTCAATCTTCTCTTAGACAGGCAATTGGTCATCACGTGTATCTAACCGTTCTCTTGGTTACTATCTCAACGGCGATTGTAACCATCAATAGACAGGTAGTGTATATATATATATATCTAGATATCTTATATAGGTAGTAGATAAAACAAGTAGATAAATGTGATCTTACTGGTCTCGCTAGGTATTTTTTACATGCTGAAATAGGATATATAAAATGAAAGTATTATCAAACTCGTCAATTTTCATGTAATTCGACATACTACAATGAATTAAAAACTTTTTTTTATTACTTGAATAAGAAACAGTTTGTTTGTTGTTGTTTTTTCATTCAAAATTATGTCATACTTGATCACTGGTAAAATCACCAGATTATTAAAGCACTTGCTGAAAATCGTGCGATTCTGTATAATCAAGTTCTGTGGTGATTAAATTCAGAATAAATAAATTAACCATTCGGTAACCCTAATAATAAAAGACCTGATAAAGGATAATATCTAATGTGTCTACAACGTAAAATTATAATCACAGTTTGAATACAGAATAATTTTCAAATCAAAATGAGCAATTAAAGAACGATCTAGACTAGAGGAAGAAGCTTACATAATTTAAATGTTTAACCAAATGTTAAGTGTATCAGAAGTTAGAATATCATACCACTACACCCCTTCTCCCCCAAAAAAAGAATAGGTAACGTTAAAATACATTGAATAGGAAATTCAGTTTCCACCAAACAACCTGATAAGGTTAAAAGCGTTGCAGTGAGGGATGTTAGAAATTATTAACTTCGTTTTATTTATTGACGCTGTAAGGGAACTGTACCACTGTGTATAACACTCAACACTACTATATGACAACGTTATACTGTTTATTCTTCTGTATTTAAAAAGTTACCAATTCACTCAGTGTTTGATTTATAGTTGTCTTTAAATATTCTGATATAAATATATGAAATTACCATGGGATTAACCATCTAATGACTGTTCAATTTAGCATAGATTTTCATGACATCAATGATTTTTTTTACAGTGTGAATTAAAACAAAAAGGTACATGTCCAGTATCATAATGGTTCATAGTCACTACACTTACGCACTCGTATGGCATCATATATTGTTACATATATTTTGACATAAACCTGTGATGATTAAAGATAGAATTCATGTGTTTAGAAGTTCACAAAAACTAACTTCTGTTTCTTGTTTAGTTATTTATCATTTGTATGTATCTAAACTTCATTTAACATGGCTAATTTTGCAGCTCGAACTTACGTCCAGACGACTTTTTCTTTGGAAAAAGGCAGTAGAAGAGCAGAAAGAAAAAGTTGCAGACATGCGCAGAAAAAACGAAGCTCTTGTGTATAATATTCTTCCTCCTCATGTTGCAAAGCACTTCTTAGGGCGAAAGAAAAATTATGAAGTAGGGTTTGTTTTTTTCTCTTTAATGCATTGTTGTTATTTATGTGCATATAAATTACGTGAACTTTGGAAAAATAAATAACCTGACAAATAATTATAAGATAAAGTGATAATGCATATCAATGAATGTGATCTGCAAAATACGACAAAGAAGTTTAGATCCGTTTCTACGTTATTTGTGAACAATAATCAGCAGCTGCCCCAAACTATGCTGCTTGGTTGGTATAAACTTTATCACGAGGTGTTAACAAACATCCATCACAAAATTACTTTCCCACTAATATCCATATACAGTGTGGCTCAAAATTTCTGTATCAACGTAAATATGTACTGTTTACTTTGTTGTACCTGTGATGTTTCATAGTTATTTACCACAAATAAAACACCATTACATTAATGCATTAGTTTTTGATCACGCTACATACCTTTTGTCTTGAAATAACAACTAATATATTTCCAACAATTAGAATAATTTGTTTAAACTCCTACGTTTCAGCGTAAGCTTTTTTTCAAGGACTCATAGTGTCATAGACTACAAGTACTGTCTGATGTTTAAACTACGGTAACTGAAAATAATACAATCGTTCAAAAATATGAAATAGCAGCTAAACATTTAAAAAATGGCCTTTATGTACAAAACACTAGGAAATCCAACATGTTAGAGTAGTTGACGAAACCGATTAATTAAATATGGAAAAACTAACGTCAATTAAGACACATTTTGGGAACATTTAGATATCATTAAGTTGCTCAAGTATAAATGAGTAGCAATAGAGGAATAAGAGGATTGTAAATATACAACTATTATACTAATCCTGCTAACAAATTGAAAAAAGTACGTAAATTACTTACTTAGAAATACACACCTATTTAAATATAAAGTCATTTCAAAATAATATTTGAATAGTGCAAACACAAACAAACAAGTGTTTGATTAATCATGTTTTCAGAAAAACCTTTGGTTAACAAAGATGTTTTACTAAGAACTGTATTGCAATTTTTAGCAAAAACATTATGCAGATAAAAACATGTCCATCCGTAATACAACTTCTTGTGTTAAAGAAAAAACAAAATGTTTATACAGAATTTCGCATTAGCAGCTTATATTATAACAATAGAACTTAGGGTTCGATTACAGCAACGGACGTAGCGAGAAAATATCATTGTGCATCTTTGTGCTAAAACAAAACAGTATAACGTACTAATTTGTATTTAAATTATCATACTAATGACGGAATATGGGACTGATTACAAAATTTCAGGGTTTGAAAATAACGCCAGAAATAAAGAATATATATATATATATCGTAAAATACAAATCTTTAAAGCCAGCCCTTATCATTCATTTACTTATCAAGCTTTTTTCTTAAACTCACTT